TGTTATTTTGTAACATAATAGGCATTGACATAAGTATGATAACTATGAAAATGCAGATGAAGAGAAGTGAATGGTGAAGGAATACTAATTTGTCTTCAACGTCTGGAGTGGGCATGAGTTTTTGCAGAGAAAAATCTTAGGTATTTTAGCTAAATTTTGACTGAAAATCCACATTTTATTTCTCAATAGAAAAATGAGATATTTTTTGTGAAAATTTATTGTATCAATACATATGAAAATTTAATTTTGAATCAATTAAACTAATGCATAGAAGGTGTTTGACAAAATGAGAATGTGAAAAAAGTGACATTCTATTACTTTTCTAAATAAAAGTCACAATATCTCTTTTGAACATTTAAAAAGATTCATAAGTGTGAATTTGTAAAAATTTGAACATACAAATTCAAGACATTTTTTATGCTAATACATAAAAAAAATAGTTTTGAATCAATTATATTGATACATGCAATATGTTTGTTTAAGGAGAATGTGAAAAAGTGATAGAACATCACTTTTCTAAAAAAAAGTTACATTATGTCATTGGAACAATTAACTAGATGCATATGTGTGCGTTTTTTTTTTTTTTTTTTTTGGAATTTTAAAATAAAAATTAAAACCTTTTTTTTTTTTTTTTTTTTTTTTGAGAATTTGAACATACAAATTCAAACCTTATTTTATACATATAAAAAGGAAAAACTTTGAATCTATTAGATTGATGTATGCAAAGCATTTATTCAAGGAGAATGTGGCATAGTGCCACCTTTTTTTTTTGTCACTTTTTTTTGAATCTATGTTACTTTTTTAAATTCGTCGCCCTTTTTTTTTGCCACTTTTTTAATTTTTGTCACTTTTTTAAGTAGTTGTAACTTTTTTCAATCGTCTTGAAATTTTTATTACATTTTTTTAGCGATAAACATCACTTTTTAATAAAAATGAGATTGTATGGCCTTTTTTAATAAAAATGTGACATTAAACTTTTAAAAGTGACATTGTGTCACTTTTTTTTTAAGCAAAGAGACAATTTTTATAAAAAAAAAAAAAAAAAGTGACATTGTGTCACTTTTTAATTTTAGGCAGTACTTTTTACTTCCAAAAAATTTTTCATATGATTTTTCAAAAGACGTTTAATTTTAAGGGTATTTTTATAAGTTGCCCCTTGGATAATTGTATCCCTGCATATCACTTTCAACCATTTCACTTTTAATTCTCTTTATATGTAATTTTATATTGATTTGACTGTGTATACTGTATAATACTAATTGTTTACAATGAAAAATTTTAATAATAGGAAATCCCTTATTTTAATTGATAATTCCACGGAAAGTTTCAGATTTCATACAGTTGAAAATTTGTTTATGCACAAATACACTATTACAATTGTATGAATATGCAGGGAAACTCTGTTCTCTCACAAAGATTTCATAATCATATTAGATTTTCATTAAATTCATCTAATACGTATTGTCAACTGCAGTTTAGTAAGTGCAATTTAAGATCGTGGAATCGCGAATTTTCGTGTTCATTTGCTGCCAAGCCTTTTAATTTTGCTCACAGAAGAGGATTTTTTCTATTTAAGGTAAAGTAATTACACCTTATTCTTAATGGGCCTTCATTTTATCTTAAAAGGCTTGTGAATTTTGATTCTACATTTGTATAATTTCAAGTGCCTATGCTTCATGATCTGGTGTATTCTTTACTCGTATTGATTTATTGATTTGAAGTTTATGCCCTCATTAAAGCAATACAGAATAATTTGGATTTTATTTCGATTATAATCGATCATGATCTCTGCTGAAAACGAATTAACATTGTTATGATAAATTATAGAGAAAGATGTTAAAAGCTGCTTCCTGATATCTGTTGTTGTCGAAGGCTGAGTTTTGGGAGTGGAATGTAGTTATGGTCCAGTATGAATTTGAGCTCTTGAAGTTCGGTTTTTCATATACTGGAATGAGTATTGTAGCGATAGCATTTGTTAACTTTTGTCTATCAGCCAGAATGAGCAAGTCAAAGGATTGTTTTTTATTCAGTTTCTGCTTAAACAGCGAATTGATATGCTACCTTTCCATCAGTGTGATGTGTAAGACAATACAAGACGGAAGTGCAGTTATGAAATCAATCATGTTTTATTTAACTGCTATATGGCATGAATCCAATTGGAAGATTTGATAAACCACCCTTAATGCCAAGTCCCTATATTATTTTAGCCCTTTTCACATTCCATCCTCGATTAAAAATAATTGATAATAGGTGCTTGAAAATGTTCGGGTACATGCAACTGCTGCTGAAACCGACCAACCAAATTGGTGGGAAAAGAATGCTGGCCAAAATATGATTGACATACATTCGACGGAAGAGTTTTTAGATGCTTTAAGTCAAGCTGGAGATAGATTAGTCATTGTTGAATTTTTTGGAACGTGGTGCGCATCTTGCCGGGCGCTGTTTCCTAAGGTATGTCTACTCTTTGATGAAGCACATGCTCTAAGTCTCTGCAGACTGAATTTCAGGATCTTAATTATGGACATTCTTTTTTCTCATTGTCTGTGTTTGGGAATCACCTAATAGACTAAAACATAGTTGCTGCATTGCTGCTAAGTGTTGTTTATGTGCACTCATGATAAGGGAAGGATGTATATCTAGTACTTCATGATTCAGTAATACCATAACATTTTATTCTCCTTGCTGAGATGATTACATCTGATGCGCTACCTTTTTCTTATCTGAAATTGTCCATATGTCTTCAGAAGCATCGGTTTATGAAATGAATATTTTTAATTTATAGAACTTTTTGATCCTTCTAATCTGCAAGCGGTCCTATGCAATTTCAAAATTGTCAATTCCTTTGAATTTGTTGTTCTGTTCAGTCTGATAGCACTTTAACTGGTCTATACATGAACTTTATCATTGTATGTCTAGACGCTATCTCGTAACAACATTTGTTTGTTTAAATCTATCAAATCGTTTTGGTCTCTCTGAACTTTTTGATACTGTTATATGATTGCTTCATTTAGTGTTTCCTTGAATTTAGGTATGCAGGATTGCAGAACAACACCCAGAAATCATCTTTCTCAAGGTGAACTTTGATGAGAACAAGTCCTTGTGCAGAAGTTTGAACATAAAGGTCCTTCCATATTTTCACTTTTATAGGGGAGCTGATGGCCTGCTGGAATCATTTTCGTGCTCTCTCGCAAAGGTAGGACGAGAAGTTTCTCTTTCTACATCTTCAATGCTTTAACATCATATTATGGGTTGCGTCGACTTTCAAATCTTTCCTCTTGAACCCCGTTGATGGTAATTCCTATAAAGGGGGCAAACTTAAAAGTGCCAAGGGGGTAAAACGTATGTGAAAATAGTATACATCATTTTTTTCTCCGTGTGTTGACACGGTGGGTATGAAGATACAAAAAAATAAGACTTAGTTCTTATATTGTGAGGCATAAATGTGTGTGCTTGGACGGTAGGTAAATCTTATGGCATGGTTTCTATGTTGAAGGAAAGCCATATAAAAATAATGTGACATGATCCTTCAACCCTCCTCGTAAAAATGCAAATGTTTTTGCATGCATATCTTGTATTTATGGAGCTTTGGAAAGAAAACTATGAGTATCTCAAGGCAGAATTTTACCCCTAAATGTTAGGCATGGTCCTTGTATTCCATTCCCTTGGTACTATATTGATCAAGAGCTCTGGCTTGTCAGTATCTTCCTTTAGTAGTTGCTTAATATCAATCTTTAAATATTCTAGCAAATAAGTAAATGATTATAATGCAAGAACTCTATTGTAAGAGATTTCAACATCCACCTTTAGGTGGGCTGCTGGTTGTTTATATGATTGTCTGGTGTATGTAAATGCCAATATATCACCTCTCTGCACTTATAAAGGCTTTTTCCTATCTTTTGATGGTCGACTATGTAAACAGTGAACCAAGAAGTTAACGTTATAATAATTCATCATTCCCTTTGCCCCATTAAGCACCTTGTTCTGTTTAGGAATTTTCAAATCTTCTAGATCCTGCACATGTGGTTTAGTGACGCAATCTGCCGACAGCTTGTCAAGATATTGAATGTTATGATAGTTCCATAATTGCAATTTGGCTTCAATAAGTTGAGATTTTACTACTCCGTACTCCATGTAAAATAATTGGAGTCAATTTGACTTATGATCTAATTGTATATTTGCTGTAGGGGGAGAGTTCAACATTTTCTCCTTGCATGTTCTCTCTCTCATCCATGAGAATACTTAAGTTTTGCTCCAAGTATATCATTAAAAAGTTACAAAAATTTATGCAGCTCCAGAAATTGAAGGATGCCATTGCAACCCATAACAAAGCTCATTAAGACCAGGGTCAGTCGAAAGATAACAGTGATAGACGTCAACATCTTCCTGTAATATCTGCAGCGCCAGAAGACAAAGAAGTATAATCGACTTTGTTACACTGTATTATATCACTGCTGACCTTGGTCGTGTTATGGCTTTATTCTTACTTTCTTTTGGGTTAAAGAAAAAAAGGCCCTCTGTACATGCTTCTCTATAAAAGAACTCAGATTCAATTATATGTCCATTCATAATTCGTGTAACACTTACTGCAGAAGCACTCTACTTTATTACCTATTTGTATATAAATAAAAAAATGTGATGTAATTGCTGGTTTTATCTGCTTTATTACCTATTTCTTTTGTGTTGTAGCTTTCAACATATCCAGGGATCGAATGTTGGAAGTTCACCCCTTGCTTTTAGCTCCATAATCAATCATTTTCAGCTCGAAGTTTCTTTGGAGATTTATCTTCCTCTCAGGGTGAGCTTTCTTGGCTCGACTGCTTTCTGTTCATATAATGTATACAGCTCTGTTTCTGGTTGGGGGAGTAATAGGTGCAAGTCTAGATAATAATATTATAATTTACCCTTTATTGCTCCGAAAGAGAAAGAGAAGTACTAGTTGCATTCTTGGCTTTACAATGAATTAAGGCAAAAGAGTCATTAGCAATCACTATATACTTGTATACATACAAATCATTGATCTCAGCCCAGTTTGCGGAACTAAAAATTAGTGTAGATATAGTCTTCCAAGTATGAAAAAGATAGCAATGTAAATACTGAGGTTAAACTTTAGGACAGATGTTTTTATTCTTATGTAGTGAATATGGGAGCTAAAACTTCTGATCTTTCCCCTTTATTCGAGTTTTTGTCTATGGGAAATAGCAATCACCACCCCACTAAATCCTCAACAGAACCCTTTTCTGTTACAGGTTAAGTGACTAAAGGAACACCTTTCTTATCTATGCATCATCTTTATTGTTTCTCGAATCCAATGTAATGTGTCCTGAACGGATTCACTCTCAGTGGAACTTCTGGCCATATTGGTATTATAACATACACTGCGAAACGTTCCCTGGCTCTGATTTTACTCGCTACCTTTAGTGCAATCATAAAAAGGAATTAAGTTTCAGCATCGACAATGCTTATTTTCCTCCCAGCGATGGCATCATCCGATGAAATACTGATTCTCTGTGTCTGTGTATATAAGATGTCAGCTTGCCTGATTGCATCCACATAAGCTTCATGGATACTTCGCTTGATTTTGATGTTTTTAGGCTAAGGGCTAGCAGAAACTGTTCAATTGAGCAAAAACTTGGAGTTCCACTCCCTCCCTGGAGAAAGCTTGTTAGGATCAGGCTGCTTGGAGAGTTCTGAAATGGATTTTATTGGAACAAGCAAAGATGGATCCTACTGCTTTGTCTATCTTTGCTCGAAATTGGAAAGCCGTGACACAGGTATGTGTATCGGGCCATGTCTCTCTTGCACTCCTTTGTGAAGGCTACTTTGATAAAAATCATAAAAATGGGATTCTGTTTCAAGTGTTTGAAACAACGACTGCTCTATCGCCATCACAAAGATCTAAATCACCAAGAAAGCTCGTGATTTCTCAATAAGACGACTCTCCATGTGAGCCCACTGTTATTTCTTTAATAATGTGCGAAAACTGTAGGGAATTGTTGTGTAGCCAAGGAGGCAATTTGCATCCTACTTTAGTGTGCTTGAAATAGTCTTGATCTTTAGTTCTCATTACTCCTTTATTCTCTATGAATAGTAAGGATGTTGTGTCGTCCCAAAGCATAATTCACGCAGACACACCTTCCTCGGCTTTCTGCTTCAATAATTCGCCAAGCTTCTACACATCGTGCGAGGGAAATCTGTTAGTGGATCGCGTACCTGAAAAACCCATGTTAGGCTTAGAATATTCGAGGGAAATGATGGTGACAATTTTTGTTTTGCGCTTGCCAGAGCCAGTTTAGGATTGAATGACCATCCGGCAATGTAAATTAAATGCTTTGCATCCTCAATTGCTTTATATATGTCTTCCCACAAATTTCTGGGTGCCTCGTGAAGATCAAATGGTGGTCGGAATGTAGGTCGATGATGAGCATCTTGATAAAATGCAACACTGCAATTTCATCTTTTGGGAAATGCTGCATTTTTCAGCTCCTCATATCCACCATTTTCTATAACTTTTCCCCAACTTGCTTCATATTCTGCTGGTTTAAACCATAAGACGAATTGTAATATGAGCTTCTTGATTGGCTTTCCATTTTCTTTGCTGAGAGGGAAGAATCCATTGATTAGACTTGCCTCATTCAGAAGCTTTTCGGTCTTAATATCGATTCTTCCCGAGATGAATCAGATAGATGAGCACGAAGGATTTGAAAATTGGATTTCAAACTGTCCCTTTCACGGCTAGTTTTTGCCACCCTTTTTGTTATCTATCTTGATGGTCACACAGGCAGACTTTCCTACAGCAGATATGCACTGTAATAACACAATGAAAAGGACAATTAGAAGAAATTTGATAGATTATGGATTCGAAGCTGCACAAACTAAAATTAATTTGCCTTCATGGAATACATTATATCTTCTAGATTGTCCACAATAATAACCTGTTTGCAATAACTTCTGTCGCTTGTTCAAAAGTTTGTCAAGAAACCCACCTCAAGTAAGTTTTCTTTAAAAGCTTTTTTTACTATTGTGTATTTTCCATCGTCAGTGTACAATTTCATAAACAAATAATATAGTGAATCCATGTTTCCGAATGATTGTTCTCAGAAAAACTATTAACTAGTCCCTAATTTACTATTTCTAACTCCTAATTGATAAAAAATAAAAAATAAATAAAAAAAAAAAATAATAATAATAATAATAGTGTTTGATTAATTACCTAAATTTTCTATTTATTTAAAAGCACACGATTGACTTGAATTGGGGTTTTAAAATGTGAATGTTAGAACTTATTATTTTATCTAGTGATAAGCTTTAATTCAAATATCAAGATTCATTACTTATATAATAGTCGTTCTAATTCTTCTTTATTAATTAATTTACCTCTCTTAGCTCATTAATGCATTCAAGTATGAAAGCGAATATCTAACTTTTATCCACAGTCGGTCATGAATAATTAAACTACAAGAATTCTAAAAATTGAAATAAAGGATCATATCAGTTACTCATACTAATAAGGAAAAAAAATTAAAATGATTAAGTTCATTATGTGTTCGTTCTTGAATAAAAATAAACTCAACTATACTCTAATCATATTTATCTCAACTTGAAATATGTTGTTAATGATTGCCCAAAGTGAATATCTAAATCTCAAAATTTAAACAAGATAAAGAAACGAGAGAATGAAGAGGTATTTCACAAACTACACCTATCGTTTATTCAGTTTTTGAGTGTGTGCGCGTGCGCACGAGTGAGTGATAATCATTCTCTATTCAACCGATGCTATTTGAATCTAGTTATGCACTTCAAATCTCAAATTACATTTTCCCAACAAAACCAAGTCCCTACTCCCGAATATGTCAATGTAATTTCTATTCACTCATACTTTCAATTTCTCTTTCTCGAGACAAAAACTCAACAAGTGAAATAGAGCTTATTTTCATCATCAGCTCAACAACTCTCCAAACCCCCGTGTGATGACCAAGACTTAACCAGATAGAGACGCTACTTATAATTGTTTTATTATTATATTATATCAACAAACTTTGGTGTCTTTTAATTTTTCTTTTTCGTTTTTTGTTTTTGTTTTGTTTTGTCCATTCTACTATTTTTGGGATTTTTTTTAGTGTAATTTTCAATATATATTGTAGGTAGCATTATATCTCAATAGATAATCTCCTAAACATTGGTAAAGAGTATAACTTGATTACTCAGGCTTAGCTTCACACTATAAGTTTTTTTCTTCAATTGAGGATGTGAGTATTAAATGTCTCCTACAAGTGAACAAATCAACAAGTAAGTGATAAACTCAATTAATAAACAAGAATCAATCAAAACAATCAAGAAAGTGAAGAAATAGATGCAAGAACAAAGAAGTAATAATTCTCCCTTTTCTTAGGCTAAGAAACTGCAATCCAGCACCACAAAGGTAACACCAACAATAGATTTTCGGAGTCTAAGATATACACCAAGTATTAGGGCACACAAATGCAAAGAAAAATAGCTTCAAGGCACAAAGCAAGAAGGTTTTCAAAGGCACAAAGCACAGGGACTATTTTTCTAGGGTTGTTGGTTTGTTTACATAGGTTTAGAGGTCAATTATATGTAGGTCAAGTAGAAAAACGAATTTCCTAGATATTCCAATAAAATCTTCAAAGATGGGTATCAATTTGAATAAGGTAGGTTACCAAAAGTTAGGGATAGTGTATATCTCTAACTACCAAGTCCATCTTTTAATTAGGTATTGAGCACCTAACCCTAATGGGCCGATTCCCTCTAAATACCCAACTTAATTGGGTTACTACAATTGTGGTGTGGATCTTTAATACATATTTCAATCCCTGGCTTAAAGCCTATGAAACGAACGGGTCTCGATTTTTCATCATTGCCTAGGGGGTTGTTTGGGCATCACTAAAATACCTAACAACCTCTACCTTGATGCCAGAACAACCTACAAGTCAGATAAGATAACAAATAGCTTAAGTAAAGAGACTTACAAGTTTGTACCGATATTTAGAAGATCAAGGCAACTTCTAAACTTTACCAATGGGAGCACTTTAGTTCCCATATCTGCAGGATTGTACTCTGAAAGGATTTTCTCAAGTTTTACCAGTTCTTGAGAAACCATATCTCTAATGAAATGCAATCTAACATTTATATGTTTAGTACGTTCATGAAAGATAGGATTTTTGCATAAGTGAATAGCAGATTGACTATCAGAATATATTGTCACATCATTATCAAGAACACCTAGTTCATTTAACATACCTTTAAACCACATAGATTCTTTAAAGGCTTCAGTAGCAGCAATATATTCAGATTCAGTCGTAGATAATGCAACAACAAGTTGAAGTTGTGATTTCCAGCTAATACATGATTCACACAAAGTAAATACATAGGAAGATGTAGATTTCCTATTATCTCTATCACCAGCATAATTAACATCAGTAAAGCCTTTCAATTTTACTCCTTTAGTACTAAACTTATATACTAAACCAACATTGCACGTTCCTTTCAAATATTTAAACAACCATTTCAAAGCTTCCCAATGCGTGGGACCAAGGTTTGACATATACCTGCTAAGTGTACTAACAGTAAAAGCTAAATCAGGTCTAGTACACACCATTAAATACATCACAGAACCGATGGCATTCGAATATGGA